TTATTATTATTACTGTCGTTATTGTTAATTATTAATAGTAATAATAATAATAAAACAACAATGATTACTAGTAGTGATTATTACTATTAGAAAGCGATTAATAAATGATTAATGGAAGACTTTTTAGAATTTTTGCATTAAATTCACGAAAAACACTTTTCTTTTCCAAACTAAGCTCCCAGTTCTCCTAAAAAAAAGAAAAAGAAATAGAAAAATATAATAATAATAATTATTACTTATACGTAATTTATTGAAAATAAAAAAGAAAACAAAGACGAAAAATAAGTGGAAATCTGGTTTGGTTATAGTTTTTGAAAACCACAAGAAGAAAGAGGAATGAACGATGGAAAAAAAAAGAAAGATGGATCAATTAAAAGGACTGTATGATTACAATAATAATTGGGTAGGGTAAGAAAACAAGATTTTGTCATACCAATAAAACAATTTCTTTCTTTTTTCTTTTCTGTTTAAATTAATAAAATTACAATAATGTGCATTTTCCTTTTTCTTCGTCTTCTTCTTTTGCATATATTTATATTGGCATATAATGAGAATTAAAACAAAGTGAATTATATTTCTGGTAAATGAAAAAAGAAAAAGGATAATAAAAAAAGAAATCATTTTTCAAAAGAAGTCTGTTTTTTATTTTTATTTTATTAATTTATTTTTTTTTTTTTCTTTTTTCTTTTTTTTTTTTTTTTTTCGACAACTAAGATGACAATATTAGCAAAATATGGATGAAAAATGATATGTGATTTAGATTATTTTGGATAATTGGAAATATGAAATGGTAACTATTACTAATAACGATATTTGTCATTAAAATGAATAAGTTTTGAATTATGAATTCTTCATTGTTTCTGTTTCCATTTATTAGTCATTTAGTGATAATATTATTGATAAGGAAATCAAATATATCGTAGATGAAAGTGATAAATGATGGATAGATTTGGTTAGTGATGTGGAAGAGTTTAATTCATTAGCATCGATTGTTTCAAAAGAAACCATTATTGATGAGAGCAATAATGGATATAAATTTTTCCGAGTTATTTATATCAATTAAAAGTCATTTGTACATTTTATAAATCATTTATACAAAGGGAGTGATTTATATAGTTAATTTATTTTTCAAAAAAAAAAAAAATGAAAATTGAAATTAATCATATCTATTAATGGTTGTATTCGCATTGTTTCGTCTCGTAAATAGTAAAGCTTTTTTTTATATTAAATATTCAAGAGCAAGATGTAGTTGAAGATGACGTAAACGATGTAAATGACGCAAATGACGTAAAGGGCTATAAATTTTAAAAAAAAATTGGCAAAATTAAAATTAAAACAAAAAATATTTAATGGATAATGAGTAATGTTATTTTAAAATTTCGTCAAATTTTTGTTTTTCATTCAAATCATTTGATTTTAAAGTAAATAATTTTTGAATTAACATATCAATTAATGTTTATTAAAATGTAAATGTATTCTTATTTTGAGATAAAAGTACGAAAGTTGTTGTTGTTGTTACACATCCCGCTACTATGTATTCTGCTAATATCCTGGTGAATAAGCCAGATGTTAATATAAATGATGAAAAAAAATTAGTAATCCTAAATTTGATGACAAATTTCAGCAATTTGGATGATTGTGCAAAAATTTGCGACAGGTAATTTGATTGAAATTGCAACGTCACTTTATTAAAACCTTTAGATTTACGATCTTTTTAAAATTTTTCGACAAAGGATTGAATATCTTTAGATTTATATAAATTAGTATTTATTGAAATTATAGTTAAATTCCATTTTAAATTGAAATTGGAAACAATATAAAACATTTACAACATAACAAAATTCCAATTCCGCCTATAATTATAATCGTTTTAGCAAAGCGCAAATGTCGCCGTAGCCATCATTGTAAATTAGTTTATAGTTTGAATGATTGTGAATTGAAAAAAAAAATAAATTGAAATAAAAAAGCTAAAATGATTGAAGATGTGGGTTTTTTTTTTCCATTTTTAAATTATAAAGATAATTTGGAGACAATATAGTCACAGTGAAAATTATCACCTTGATTAAGTACAGCATAATACTTAATTAAGATGACAATTTTCGCTATGACTAAATTATTTTAAGAAGAAAAAAAGGCTAATTTCAAAATTATTTATAAATTTCGGATAATTTCTGCAACTAAGAAAAAATCACTACATTTAAGTCATTATGGAGGTAGTTGTATTTTTCCGGTTTTATGTACCGTAAACTACGACAATAACACTGTACCTACTGCATTTTCAGGTTGGTTTTTTTTCTTTCCAAAATTTAATTTTGCATTAAATTGGAATTTTTAAAAATATGAATTATAGAATTACAACATTGCTTATATTGAATGATGTTAAAGTAAAAAAAGAGTTTTTTTTTAAAAAAAAAGCTTTTTTTCGTTTTTGATTTACCGGTTGATGTTAGTTTTGCATTGGAAATTATTCATTTAGCTAATTTCGATTCACGAAATATGGATTATTCAATTGGTGAGTGAAATTTTTTACGTTGAAAAAATAAAAATTATTTTAGAATTTCAAAAATTTCAATTAAAGTTTTGTTTTTATTTTTTTCTTTTAAAGATTTTGAAATGTAAATGAGTTGAATTGATTCACGTTTAATGAACAATTATACAAAATGGATACGAATTCGAGAAAGACAAATTCTGGATCAAATATGGAAACCTGATCCGTATTTTGTTAATTCAAAACGTTCACATTTCCATTACATTTCATTTCCAAATTTCCGGATGTTAATAAACCCAAATGGTTTAGTTGTTTATACAATAAGATGATATACAAAAATAAATAAATAGATAAATAAATGAATAAATAAATAATATTACATAAAATATTTAACAATGGAAAAATTCGTCATCGAATATTTTTGATTTTCGAAATTGTTTATGAAATTTGTGAATTCTTTTTTTTTCCTATCAAATTTATAATACCATTTAATTTCTTAATTAATTAACTCTTGCTTTTTTTGCTAACTTTATCTAACTCTCATCCTTCATCTAGAATAACACTACAACCATCTTGCTATATGGTTTTTTTGCCGATTCCCACATGATGAACAACAATGTTAAGTTATGATTAGCTCACGTTAGTTAGCTCACGTTTGTCAACTCACGTGCGGAAAGAAGGAACAGCATAGGTTAAACGAGTAAATTTACGTGATATGCTAAGTGCAATAAATTAATTTTAATTCCATTTTTGTTCGAACCTTATTTCTGTGAATAGTTAAAAATCAAAAAATTTTCTAGACATTAAATTTTTTATAAACTCTTGAGAAATTCCAAAGATATCAACTTTTCCTTTCTCAATTTTTTTTCGATTTTTTTTTTTTTTAATGATTTTAATCTCCGAAATTTTTTCTTTTTTCTAAATTCAAGCGTTAATTGTTTAGTCTTGAAATAATAATTTAAATTTGAATAAAAAAATATAGATATACATTTCCAAGTTTCGCATATACCATCAAGTGTTCGATTTTTCTGGCTTCCAACAAATCCAATAAATTTGATGTCACCAAATCCGTCACCTGATTTTAACCTTGTATCCGTACATACGCATCATTGTGTTGTGGATGGAAGATTATGTAAATATTCAATTTCATTTCATTCAAATATTCATTATTTATTTCATTACACTTTAAATTTGAACAAAATCACGTGGCAAACATGTTATCAATGTGATAAGCATAAAAGTTATAATGAAATATTTATGATATTACCATAAAATTGCAAACCATTTGCAAGCTATTTTGCTATCACACGCAAACGTACGTGTAGCATGCAATTTTGAAAAGTAAATTTATCAATTTATTTTTTAAATTAAATTTATGATTTCTTCCATTCGTTATATGCTTGTAACCGTTTTTCAACAATTTCACATATCATCAAATTAATCATAGTTAGTTTGATTGTATAATTTCAATTAGGAATTAAAATTATTGCGAGAAAAAAATTAAAACTTCGAAATTTTCGTAAATTAAATTAAATTTAAAATTTTCAGTACCATTATCATATCTTCGTGTTTTATTCAAATTAAAACGAACTGATGCACGATTTATCACGGAAAAATATATACTAAATTCATTGATGATGTTTATCACTTGGATTACACCATTTTGTACCGTATAATTATCAGGAAGTACGAATTATCACACCAATTTCTGTTAGTTAATTCCATTTTTTTTGCATTTCCAAAATTCACCAAAAAAAAGAAAGAAAGAAAAAGTAAATTAGAAAAATTTTTTTGAAAATAAAATAAAATTTCTGAAATTACTCGTTATTTCCTTTTTTTCAAAAGTTAAAAATTTCATTTTTTGATTTTAATAAATTTAAAATAAAATTTTATTATGAAATTTTTTAAAAAAAATTAAAATCATCAAATTTATTTATTTATTTAATAATTCTTGCATTTTCTTTTTCTTTTCTTTTAATATACTTTTAGCATTGGTACAAATGAAAAGTGGCGAAGAATATATTCATATAAATTTTATTACACAATTAGATATATGGCTTCCACCAATGAAAATATTCACCGTATTTGTTATTATTTGAATCGGTTGTCGGATTAGCTCTTATAAGAGCAATTGTAAATTTCTTTTTTTTTTTTTATTATTTGAAAAATTATTTAGCCATAAAATTTTTACGATTAATTAATTAATTAGTTAAAGTAAATGAAGCACAATTAAAGGAATTAATTTCTAATATATTATACATAATTTTATGATAAAAAATAATATTTAGAAATCAGTGAAAAATTATTAATGTTATTATTTTATTACAATTTTATAATATAAATCATAAACAATTGATGTATAATAACATGTAATTGTAAAAATAAATAATATTAAAATTATTAAAAAACACAATAAAGTAATATTTTCATTTTGATAAAAATTAAAAATTAATGAATTGATTAGCTGGAATAAATAAATTACAATTAAAAGAATAAATTTTTAATAATATGTTAAATATGATTAGCAAAATATTCATTATCATTTTATGAAAAATGTAACATTTTGGAATTAGACGAAAAATTATTGTTGTTTATTATTTTGGTGTTACTTCTTTTCTTCCCTTATTTTTTTATTTATTTTTATTTTTCATTTTTTTTTTTAAATATAAATTATAAACGATTGATATGCAATAATTTGCAATAAATAATATAAAAGTTTTTTCAATTAAAAAAAAAAACGAAGAAATTTTTTTTTTTATAAATTTCAGGAAAAACGGTATTTGAAATTTTTTCTTTTTTAAATTTTAGGAAAAAACGACATTTGAAAATGAATTTGAGCGTGAAAATTTTTGCGCAAAAAAAAAAAAGAACGACAAATGATACGACTTTATCAACGTTTGGATTATTTGACACAAATTTTTTTCACCTTTACTATTTACAACATTTTTAATGCATTATATTATATGAATGTTATCCATGGTGAAGATAGTGAATGTAATACAAATAAAATTGATAATTAAAAAAAAAAAAAAAACTTTTAAAGAAATTGGAAAAAAAAAGGAGAAGCGATTGAAAAATTGATAGATTAAAATGAAAAATATATGAACAGGAATTCATTTCCTACTATTCCCATATTATTTATTTTGAAATATTTGAAAAAAAAAAAAAATTGCTAGGAAA